TCTGTGTCTCAGGGCTGTGACAGACAGATGGTGTTCGACCTGCTGACGAGGCTCAAGTCTGTGGTCTACTTGCCCGGAGACTTCGTTTGTAAGAAGGTGAGAACACACCTGTTGGAAGCTGTGTGTGTGTGTGTGTGTGTGTGTGTGTACACTGTATGTCACTGGTCTGTGATGTTGTGAATGTATTCTACAGCATCTGTGGCCTTGTATTGTTTTTCTCTTCATAAATAATTTGTTAGAATGCGTGTTGACCTGCTGTGTGTGTGTGTGTGTGTGTGTGTGTGTGTTGCAGGGGGAGATCGGCAGGGAGATGTACATCATTAAACAGGGGGAGGTTCAGGTGGTGGGCGGTCCAGACCTGCAGACGGTGTTTGTCACCATCAGATCCGGCTCGGTGTTCGGAGAGATCAGGTCAGAACTGCTTCCTTTCATCTAATAACTGTATGTTGGTTCTTCAAACAGACACTAAAGGCTTCATCTCTACTGGAACACGTAAGCAGGCCCGCTTTAGGGTTTAGAGATAAAAGCACGTAAGCAGGACCATTTTCGAGGTTGGCGCCTTAAGCAGAACCACCGACAGGAAACGAGGAACAGGTGTAGGCTGGACTAATGACTCAGGAACTGGCCTAACGTCAGCTGGAACCATTGACTCAGGAACTAGGATGCTAGCAGGCTGAGGATTGGACCAAGGGTTGGGAACCTGGGGCTGAAGATCAAGGGAGTCAATTTTAATTTAAACTTCAATTTATTTTGTATAGCCCAAAATCACAAATTAGCCTCAGAGGACTTTACAATCTGTAGACATGCAACATCCTCTGTATCAGGACCCTCACATCAGAACAGGAAAAACCCTTTAACGGGGAGGCATCATTACAATCAGTGTAAAATGATTTAATGTTGATAAAAACCAACAGCATTGAGTCGAAAAGAGGACGGTAAACTCTGAGAAAACTAAAAACTACGAATCAGGGCTGTCAGTCTCATAACGCTATCGCCTACATTACCCACAATGCCACTCCTCTGATAGATGTGTGGTAGATTGTGGTGTGTCTTCAATAGGCACTGACTCGGGTGACATCACTTGAGGACATTTATCAGACACTAAAGGCTTTATTTTGAACATATGCAGCAGCACTAGTGCGGCACCAGACGTGTACTATGTTTAGCATTGAAAATGTTTAGGGGATAAAAAAAACTTTTGTGATTTAATTGGACTTAAAGCAGTTTTCTCTGAAATCTGTGTGAAGTGTGAGAGCTCTTTCTCTTGTCATTGTTTGGTCAGTTTGCTGGCAGGAGGCGGGGGGAACCGACGCACTGCCAACGTAAAGGCACACGGTTTCGCCAACCTCTTCATCCTGGATAAGAAGGACCTGGCAGAGATCTTAGTAAACTACCCAGAGTCCCAGAAACTCCTCCGCAAGAAAGCCAAGTAAGACAGAGTCCTGTCCCTAAGGTGCTGCCTGGCTCATAGTCCACTGAAACACAGTAAATATATACAGGGAGACAGGGAGTCAGCTGGACTGTGTCAGATTTGTGAGTTCCACTGTCTTCTTAGAGAGCGCTCCTTTTCCAAGTTGAGACGTCTGAATAATAAACTGAAAACCAAGAGAATGTTTCAGTTATACGTGAAATGAATCCATCTTGGATTTTGATGAATTGGAAGGTGATACAAAAATAAGAACGGTAAGAAAGCCCAGCATGTGTCTTTGAGTGTGTATCAGGCTCTATGAGCGTGACCTGTTATTATAATAAGTTATATAAGTTTGATACGTGACTGAGATGGAAGAACAAATCATCAACTGCCCATCTGCCTCGGAGTGTTCCCATCAGACACATCTACAAACATTTAGCTGATACCAACTCAGAAGATATTTTCTTATTTTTCATTGAAATGAAGAACCTCTGTTTTACTATCAAAATGCATGCAATGTATTCAAATGATACAAAATAAACTAAATAGCCACAATAGAATATCAATAATAATCTATAAATGAACAGACTGTTACTCGACATCCTGACTAAAGCAGAGGGAAGCACAAAGGTACACTTTAAAAGGTATTACACAGCACTGTGAGGGTTAGAATCGCTGTCAAGTAAAAACAGAAAATACACAATCAGGAGAAATTCTGAATACATAAAGAATAGTGTAGATAATATGATCAGGACTGAGAGCAGAACCGAAAGAAAAGAAAATACAATCAAATTAAAATACAATCCAATCAAAATGAGAAAAGCAGTAATAGCTGAAAACAAGGCGGAGGCTGAACGGTCATCTCTTCCCAAAGGGAAATAAGAGCTCCAGTAAATAGAAAGACATTCAACCAGACAACAACTTACCCTCCGAGCCTGGTGACCTACATTCAAGTCACACAGTGTTTAAAGCAGCAGGACACATGGAGGTGAAATGTATTTAAGACTTACTTCCTTCAGCTCACCCAACATCCCTCAGCAGGTAATGAGTAGAGACACCAGAGCAGCAGCAAGAGGTATGAACTTCCTGTCTAGACCAGACACTTCTAATTGGCTGCATTGTGCACGTGAGGCTCTGAAGTGTATATTTAACCTGCCCGTTACAGAGACATGACACAGGTCTTTAATGAGTCACTGTGCGCCAGCTGGTGTTTCTTCTGACTGGTTCGGTACTGACCCTTCAGTAGGTAAACGGCTCAGGTTCCGGTCTGACTAGTTCGGTACTGACCCTTCAGTAGATACATGGTTCAGGTTCTGGTCTGACTAGTTCGGTGCTGACCCTTCAGTAGATACACGGTTCAGGTTCTGGTCTGACTAGTTCGGTGCTGACCCTTCAGTAGATACACGGTTCAGGTTCTGGTCCGTCTCCATACGTCTCTGTCCGTCTCCGTCATCCCCCTACCGTCTGATCTCTGGTCCGTCCTGGACAGGATTAGAATCTGTAATCTGCTCTACTTTGTGGTGCAGACAGGCAGAGGACTGATCAGTAGACTGGTCCTATTGCTGGTCTTCCTGCTGTCAGTCAGATCATGGTGCGACAGCAGACTGGATGGATGTGCTGGAGCTGCTGTGTGTGTTGGTACGAGACCTCCGTGGTTTAAATGAGGGACTGTGGTCTGGTTTCTGTTTGCGTCGAGTCAGAACCCGCACCACTGTACAGACCGTCCTTGTTTTGTCTCTGTGTTTGTGCAGGACAATGTTGACGAAGGACAAGAAGCTAGAAGAGAAGACCGGAGCTAAAGAGGCGATGCAGGTTATTCCGCCGAGACCGGACACACCTGAAATGTTCAAGGTGGCCCTGAAGATGTCACAGCAGGTGGGAATAGAGGGAGCCTTCACCAAACTGAGGAAGACCTACCAACCCTCTGAGAGCCCAGCAGAGGTGAGACACCGCATAGAGACACACTGTCTCAGGATCAGGACAGACGGGGGTGAGGGACAATGTCTCAGGATCAGGACAGACAGAGGTGAGACACACTGTCTCAGGATCAGGACAGACAGAGGTGAGACACACTGTCTCAGGATCAGGACAGACAGAGGTGAGACACACCGTCTCAGGATCAGGACAGACAGGGTTGAGACACACCGTCTCAGGATCAGGACAGACAGGGTTGAGACACACT